CCTGTTCCTACTCCCACTAATGCACCACCTCCCGCAACTACCACCAGTGCACAGCCTCCCCTCCACAGTTGTATATTAAAAGACCACATTCTTAGGTGATTGATACTCCAACTTCCACTCAGCTACCATCTAATCCTCCATCTATAGATCTAAATGGTTTAAATTTTTCCATTACTCTCTATAAAGGTAAATGTTCTTATACTAACTATCCCCTTTCTCGCTATGTCTCATTTGCTTGTTTGCCTCCTTCCTACCAAAGGTTTGTGTCTCTTGTTTCTTTTGTTTCCATTCCTTGTTCTGTCCAGGATGCCCTTAAGTCTCTTGCCTGGAAAGAGGCAATGGATAAAGAATTTCATGCTCTTAAAAGTAATCACACTTGGGATCTCACCTCCTTACCCCCTGGCGCAAGTAGTAGGGTGTAGATGGGTTTATACTATGAAACATCGTTCTAACAATAGTGTTGAAAGATATAAATTTCATTTGGTGGCCTCAGGGGGAGGTTGGGAAAGTGTGCAAGTTGAGAAAGACAATTTATGGCCTAAAACAATTGCCTTAAGCTTGATTTGGTAACTTTAGTAGTGTGGTACAAGAGTTGTTTGCATTAATGTAGTATTGATCACTTAGCTTTTAGCAAGGACACCTTAACTGGTAAGATTATTCTTATAGTATATGTCGATGATATCATTATTACAAGGAGTGACATCAAAGGAAATAAAGATTTGAAACTTTTTCTACAACATCAGTTTCAAACAAAAGACTTAGGACAACTTAAATACTTCCTGGGGATTGTAGTGGCAAGGTCTAAATATGAAATTTCTCTCTCACAACAGAAATATGTTCTTGATTTTTTGGAGGATATTGAGTTATTAGGACAAAACCAGTCGAAACCCCTATTTATCCAAACACTAAGAAGATAAACAGTGAGGGGAATTGTTGGAAAACCCAAGTAGATACCAAAGATTGATAGGGAAACTTATTTATCTTACTATTACTAGACCGAATATCTCCTTTAGTGAAGGAGTAAGCCAATTTATGCAAAACCCAAAAACCGGTCATTGGGATGGTTTAATGAGAGTGCTACGCTATTTGAAGAGTGCTCTAGGCTAGGGGATGATGTACAAAGGGGGGGTGAGCTGACGTTGGAAGGGTACTCTGATGCTAACTAGGCAAGATCAATAACAAATTGGAGGTCCACCATAGGATATTCTTTTCTTGTTGGAAATTTGATCACATGGAAAAGTAAAAAAAAAAAAAAAAGTGTTGTGGCTTGAAGTAGTGCTGAAGCAAAATATAGAGTGATGATTCATACCACATGCGATCTTGTTTGGCTTAAACAATTATTATAAGAAATTGGGATGAAAGTTCCTAAGCCTAAAAGGTTATTCTGTGATAATCAAACTGCTATTCACATTTCTTCTAATCTAGTATTTCATGGGAGGATGAAACACAGAGAAGTAGACTATCATTTTATGAGAGAAAGTCACTAGTGAGGAATTTATCACACCATATGTGAGATCAGAGGATCAACTAGTAGACCTCTTCACCAAAGGATTAAAGCACATCCAGATGAGTTATATTTGTGATAAGCTAGATCTTTATGACATTTATTCTCCACCTTGAGGGGGAGTGTTAAAAGAATGGGTTATACTTATTTGTTGACAATTGGTTAGGTGGCAAGACATATAGGTCTTTTATTGTTTCTTTCTTGTGTTTTAATGCCCATTCTAATTTGGGGTATATTTGTAATTTGATTTATACTTGTAATAAAAGTATAGGTTGGCTGTTAGAGAGAAAAATATACAGAAAGTCTCTAACGACCAAACTCTTCTCCCTTTTCTCTCTTCATTTCTCATACCTCTCTTCTCCTATTCCATTTCTTTCTTAGTTTTTATTATTTTTTTGTGGTCGATTACAATACATATAAATACATTGAACCATGGACATGAGAGCTGCATTGGCCTAAATGTAGGAGTGAACCTAAGGTCTCCTTCTCCTTCCTTACCAATGCACTATATTACAAACACTTCAGAAGAGTGATAGGTTTAAATTGGCACAATCACCACTATACCAACCAAAAAATAGAGAAAGAAATAAAATAATTAATTTGAACATCAGAATTTCTCATACTTTGCCAAGGTAACCGTCGTGTTAGCAAACAAAGGTATTGATGAAATTCCACAAAGCCAATTGATCTCATCTTTTGCAATGAGGACCACCTAGGTTCCCTTCTTAGACCAAACTTGGTTTGTTTCTAATGATTATCTCTCCTGTTTTATTTTCCTTGCTCCTAAGCTTGTATTGGGCTGGATTGAATTAGTAAGAGTGTTTTGTATCCAAGGAAAAGGTGGGCTCCGTCCTCCCTTGTAATATGGTGTCTTTGGTAATAAAATTTGAAGGTGACCACCGAGGTAAGGTAAAGTTTTGAGTTAATATATAAAAGAGTAAAATATAAAAACCTCCCCTAAGTTTTCTGATAAATATAAAATTCTCGTATGTTTTCAATTCAACAAAATCCTTGTAGTCTTGAAAAACCATGCATTTACCTCCCTTCCCTCATCGTCCCATATAGATTTATTAAAATACTACCAAAACACTATTCATCTTCTTCACCAAGAACTAAGAACCAAAGGCACTAAAGACAACCTAATCACTCATCCCTTTATCTTTTCAATTGCCTCCCTCCCTCTCTCTCTAACCACTTCGTTCTCCCTACTACCCCACCTCTCTCTCTCTAAAAAAATGTTTTCGAACTATCGTTGACCCAGACGATTGGACCGTTCGGATCAAAAACCGTTCAGGCGACCGGTTCCACTTTACCCCAAACCCAGTCTTTGGTCAAAAACCGTTGAATTAGTCAATGAACCATTGACCCAAATGGTTTGACCATTGAACCGTTCATCCCAAAAAACGATATGCAGTTTATTACTTCTGACAAGTTTTGTCAGAACAAGAATGAAAAGAGTAGATCTCAAATCTGAGATCTATTGGAGAGAGATTAGAGATGTGTGAGACAGTGAGAAAGATCTGAGAGATCTCACACTTAGAGATCTGGAAGAGCAGTCTAGACTCTAGACGACAGATCTGCGAGAGAGAGTGAGATCTATGAGAAATCTCAAATCTACTTTCATCGCCAGTTTGACACCATCGTCACTGTTGTTGCCGATGTAGTTCACCATCACCATCACCTTCACTGCAGCCGTTGTAAGTCGCTGTCGTCGTCGCCGCTGCAGCCTGCAAGTTTTCTTCTTCTTCTTCTTCTTCTTCTTCTTCTAAACTCTTTCAGCCGACTGTTTCTCAAATCTCTCTCATTCAAACCCTATTTTCTTTTGTATTTTTATACATCTTACCCTAATATTCCAATCTAATGGGTAAGATGTTCAAACCGTTTAAACCGGACGGTCAAAGCGCTGACCCAGAAACCAGTCACCAAAATGATTCCATTTCTGGGTTGGTTTTTAAAACCTTGCTCTGAACTCTACCCAACTCTGCCATTTCCATCACAAACCCATGGCCTTTCTTCTAAACGTCCATGGGTATGGTATAATGATAACTTACTTGTTCCTTGTGATTAGTATGATATGATATAATGATAACATACTTGTTCCCGTTTTTGGTATGAAATAAATTTTCATCACTCCATGGAAAAATATATACATTGTGATTCGGCGCTAGCTTTTTCTCTTAAACATTTCCCTCAAATCTTCTACAAAACCCCATTTTTTAAACTCTCATTTTATAATGTTTGTGCACTGGCTTAAATCTAAATTTCTTTGGTAGAAATCAGAACAGAGATCACCAAAAAGTTCTGCAAATAACATTTAGCTTGCCTCCTTAAATCCTCTAGTTATGGCCTGCTATTTATTTGTTGAAAATTTTGAAGTTTCTTGCACACCTTTTTCTCTATTTGTGAATAAGTACCAATAATATGAGGTGTGAAAGCGATCACCTGCTCAAAGCGATCGCCTTTACGCTGCTCATAAAGTAACAAGTGTTCAAGGACAAGACCTCCAAAACTTCAAACTTGGAGGGCTTTCATGCTCTCCCTTTAGAGAAGCCATTACCTTAAATAAAAATTAAAATAACTAAACACTAAACACTTTGAATATTAATAAAATTTACAAAAAAAAATAAAAAAGAGAATCATTAATTAATTATTAAAACTATTACAATTAACGATATTTATTTTTTGCACATTCACATGCATATTCTAATTCTTCCACTGTTCCCAGCGTTTTTCAAATATCCCAATGTATCATACGAAGTTTACCCAGGGTTTCAAATATCCCTCTAAATACTAGAATTCAGAGGGTTTCTAATTTCTATCCGTTTAAAAGTTAGAACCCCTCTTAATAACATCTATTCTATAATTATGGAACTAAAACAATGAAAAATAAATAAAAAAGGAGTATGGATTGTTTTAGATACTCGATTTTGATAAACACAGTATACTTTCAGATTATAACCTATAGACCACGTTGGAATCTAGTTTATATCCTTTAGATTTAAAAATAATATTTCAGAAAAAAAAAAAAGCACTAAGCCTACCCTAAAGGCAAACTTTTACTCTACCCTGCCCATATAAAAATAAAAAGAAACAAATGCAGCTAGAAAGAACCCTCCACCCTCCGCAAAGCAATCTTCATACTTGTCATTTTTATACTATCAGGAACCTTGCCTAGAAAAGGTAACAGCAGCAAAACTGAAAAATAAGGACACGGGAACATATTTTTAATTGTTATTTATACATAGCCTTCTCTAAAAGCACGTCTTTTTTTAGATCCTTGCTCCAACAAATCAACCAACCTGTAAGGATAAATGGAACCAATGTAAGAAAAACTATTGTTTCTATTTAGGGCATGGAACAGGCGAACAGTAAATCACAAAACATCTTATCATGGAAATGCATAGCACCTCCACCGTCTGGGTGATGGTCATCATACTCAACCAGACTTTCTCAATTAATTAATTGGTGATGAACAATTAATGCAAAAGAATCCATCTAAACACTAAAATAAGTTTGAACTTCCAGACCAAACTATGCTGCATTGTTATGTCAAAGTGTACTTTTAATGGAAAATGCTACAAAGGTAATTTTGCTAGGTAAAATTTATAGTCCTATAATGACAACCTTGAGGCAATTGCACTGCTACACCTTTCATAATACTTCAAATCTGGAAGTGACGGGATAATTATTTAATTAGTCACCCCTTCCAACCATTTAATAAGCCCCATCCACTTGCAATAAATTTAAATCCATCAAGACAAAGTTGGTCAGCAAATAAACAATAATTTTAGTTATTTGGCATTTTTCTTCTTCTTCTTCTTCTTCTTCTTCTTCTTCTTTGAAGTTATTTTGCCTTGATCCAGCCATTTGTATCCAATAGGTCCTGCCTATCTTTTTATCAATTGAGATCAAAGCAGAAACAATCAACAAAAGATATTTGAAACTTTGTAAGATGGGTACCTTAATTAAGGAAGTAGATGTGACCGAAATATAAGAGGGTAAGTACAACACCATCCACTGCTCCAGCACTGCATTAAAAATGAAAAGACGAATTAATATATCATGCAATGTGTATAGATGCATAAAATTATATTCACATATCTATATGTTTGTGAATGTACATCAGGCATGTCTAAGTAGAAAAGGTAAATGTTCTTTTGGCAGAGGAATAGAGAATATTGCAGAGATTCATCCAAGGATAAGAGTGTATACATGAGAAAAGTGTATATAAGAGTACATACCACAGAAAGCAATGGTCCCTGTTTGAACTTGTCGTGAAAGGAAAACCCTATTGGTTTTGGGTTCTCTCCAGGTCCTCTAATAAACCCACTGCAGTTGTTCAATTGCAAACCATGGATTAGATAATAGTTCAATATTTCATATACGAGATAACCAACACTACTATTAACTTTATGAAACTGTTTTTTAAGAATCAATCAAGATTTGATCATGCAGTAGAAAACAAAAGGAAATAAAAGAGAAAAAAAACTGCTAGTTAAAACCTAAGGTCAGAAACTCACATTAGTGAAGTTGAGATGAGTGGAGTCCTTTTAACATCATATACCGCAATAAGGCCATTATACACTTCATTGCCACCTTTATATGACAAGGCCAGTCGTTCCCCAGAAGCATCCCATGCTACTTTATCTATTCCATGACTGACACAACAAGAAGAGCTATCTCAAAGAACTAATAAACTGATTAGGTATGTATAGCTAATCCCAGATATACATTTCACATCTTGGTAACATGCCAAAAAGAAAAGACAAGCTAGAATGACAACCTTTGGGAATGTTACAATTCATAAACCTTACAGCTTTCCTGTCCCATTTTTTCTAAGGCTCAGTTTGGAAAGAGTACAAATACAAATATATACAGTACAAATGCATATAAAATAATACAAAATACAAGGTTTTACACTCTACATATTTGTATTTGTACTCTTTCCAAACTGAGCCTAAGGAACATTTGAACACTTCAAAATAATTTTAAAAGAAGGATAAAAGAAGTGAAGATTAGGAAAGCTTTTCTTTTTCCTTTTTTAAGATTCTTCTCTTCCACACACATGTATGTTGTACTGTCATTTCTTGGTAACCAGCAATGCTTTTAGGATCAAAGTGTTGATTGAAAAGTGATGGGGCAATAGTTGGTCAATCTGATTGGACCTCTGAATAAATCCAAATTTACACATTAAAGTAGATGGTGACATATAAAAAGTAATATTAAGGTGATAGAAAGGGAGTGGAAGTAACTGCAGATCAAAGCATAGTTACATATGTACATCTCCAGATGAAAGACATACATACATACATACATACATACATACATACATACATACATACATATGTATATCTGCTAGTCAGATTGTTAAGTGAAGGCTGAATGTCCAAGGAACCTAAGGCATGGCAAACTAGGCCCAAAAATGGCCCCACATATTCCTCTTTGTCCTCTATTGATAGGTCAAATTTGAACTCAAAACCCTTGTCATGGAACAAAACAAACCCTTTTGTGTAAGTTTAATATCAGAACCAATGTTTTAAAACCCGGAGGCGTGACGCGAGGCATTCCACTACCTAGAGGCATGAGGCGTAGTTCAGAACGCAAGAGGCATAAGCCTCCCGAACACAAGGAAGCATAAGCCTCCTTAAGAGGAGGGTTAGGAGGAGGATGAAGAAGAAGGGGGGACCTCATTTTTTCTTATTAAAAATCTTTTATATTAAGAAAAATAAAGATGTGTAACATTCTTTCCCCTTATCTTTTCTTCCCTTCCTTTTCCTTTTCCTTTTCTTTTCTTTCCTTTTCTCTTTTTTCTTCTCTCTTTTTCTTTCCCTTCCCTTTCTTTTCCTTTCCTTTTGTTTCCTTTTTTTTTCTTTTTTTCTTTTTTTTTCCGTCTTTTTATATCAGATGTGCATGAGGTGCATGAGGCGTATGCCTCTAGTACACCTCATGAAAAAAGCGCAAGAGGTGTACGCCTCTTGCACCCGAGGCATATGCCTCAGAGGTGTCATAGTGCCTCTGGCATACGCCTCAGAGTGTTTTGGGAGCGTCTCGCCTGCGTGCGTGCCTCCAAGCATACGCTTCCCACGCCTTTTAAAACATTGATCAGAACTATGGAAATTGTCAATAATACTTGTGGAGACACTAATAAAAGGTGGGGTATTAAACTTTTTTTGGTAATAAATAAAAAAGAAAAAGTTTATTAATAAAAGGTGGGGTATTAGACTGATACGGATATGATTGAATAGGTGGTTGTTGAAGTTTTAGACAGTTTTGTGCATTTCTTAGTGGTAGTTTTTGATTATTTATTGTTTAGATAGGAAATGGGGACCACAGCACTCTTGGTTGGGAAACTGGGTACACCACTGGGGAGGAGAAGAAACCTAATACAAATCCCTCCCGGTGGGTACAAGAGAATTACATGGTGATGGTTTGGCTATGTAATTCTATGTTATCTCACATTGGTAAAAATTTCTTGTGCGCTAATACTGCAAAGGAGATTTGGGATGGAATGACTGAAACCTATTCCCATAAACAAAATGTAGCTAGAGCCTATCAATTAAGGAATCAGGTGATTAGTACAAAACAGGGAGATAGACCTCTTGCCATGTATTTCTCCATGTTGAAAACCCTTTGGCGGGAGATAGTTCCCTTAGAAACTGTGGTTTGGGAGAGTATGAAGGATGCAGCAACCTATCAGGGGTTGGTAGAGAAGAATAGGGTTTTTGAGTTCTTGGTTGGGCTGAACCCTAAATTCGACATTGCTAGGCAACAAATCCTTTCTAGAGAAAGTGTGATTCTTTCTCAAGCTTGTCTTTCTCTCTAGAGAGAAGAGTAGGAGGAATGTCATGTTGAGACAACTTGGGATTGATCAGTCAGCTATGATTAGTACTATCAAATCTAAGCCAAATGGAGACAGGGGAGTAGTGAGGCTAGGAGGGAGGACAAGGACATGGTGTATGACTATTGCAAGAAGACTAAACATACCAGAGACACCTGTTGGAAGCTTTACCCTCATCTCATACCAGCTCAGGTCAAGAATACGAAGGGAAATGCAAATGTGGCAATTACAGGAGACTCTTCAGGACCCCTTTCCCAAGTTGATTTGGAATCCATTGCAACAGCAACAATGAGAACTGAATTGGAGAAGTATGGATAGCTTATGAGTAAGAAGAATTTAGCCAATTTTGGTTCTTCAGACTGGCAGCACAGTGCAAGAGCCAATCACACTACTTCCTTTGCTCAGACAGGTAGTTCATATGCAATTGCAAATCATGCATCCACCTCAAGTAAGGAGGGACCTCCTTGGATTGTAGACTCAGAAGCATCTGAGCACATGACCAATATATTTACCCTTTTTATTTCTTACTAGTTGTGCTCTGGTAGAGATAGAGTCTCTACAGTAGATGGTTCCCATATTCCCATTGCTGGGAAAGAGACCATTAGAGTGATTAATGACATTACTTTATCCTCTATCTTATGTGTCCCTAGACTCCATACTAATCTTCTTTTTGTAAGCTCTCTGATAAAAAAATTTAAACTGTTCAGTGACATTCCTTCCTAGTAATTGTGTTTTGCAGGATTTGGAATCAAAAAGGACGATTGGGAGTGGTCGTGAGGTGAATGGAATCTACCTTTTGGATGAGTTTCCAAAACATCAGGGTCATCATGTTAGTAGCAGTAGTAGTAGTGGATCAAAGTCGGTGAGTCAAATTATGCTATACCATAATCCTTTGGGTCATCTTTCTTTCATTTCATTGAGGTCTTTGTTTCCAAAGTTGTTTGAGTCTGTTCAGTTGTTTAGTTTGGAATGTGAAAGTTGTTAGTTGAGACAACATTGTAGACATTCTTTTAAACCAAGTAATAAAAGTTCTTTTTCTTTTGATATTGTTCACATTGATGTATGGGACCTTACCACATTTCCTCCATGGGTGGTTACCGTTATTCTCTCTTGTTTGTGGATGTTCATACATGGTATTCTTGGATATATTTGATGAGATCATGTGATGAAATGCCTATTTTGGTGATAGTTCTACCAGATGGTTCCCACACAATTTGGAGTGAGGACTTATGTCTTCAGATCAGATAAAGCTAGAGAATACTTTGAGGACTTGGCCACATATTTTTTGGAGCATGGTGTGATTCATCGGAGTAGTTGTGCATATACACCGCAATAGAATGGGATAGCAGTGAGGAAAAAAACGCATTGTGGAGGTGGCAAGAAGCCTTATGGTGTGTGCATCAGTTCATATTCGTTTTTGGGAGGACGCAGTTCTCATAGCCATGTATCTGATTAACCGTGTTCCTTCACGCACTTTGGGGTTTATGGCACCTTTTAGCCTGCTTTTTCTGATTAATTGTGTTCCTTTTAGCCTGCTTTTTCCTTTGTTCACATTCTTGGTACTCATCGCAAGAAATTGGATCCTAAGGCCAAGAAATGTTTTTTCCTTGGATATGCTCAAAACCAAAAGGGGTTTTGTTGTTATGATCCAGTGTCAGGGAGCAAGTTTGTCACTATGGATATTACATTTTTTGAATCTACTTTCTTTTTCTCAGTGGTTCTCCTCAGGAAGAGTGATTTGGAGAGAACTCACAACATGTCCCTCTTCCCGATTCATTTATTCCTTCGTCTAATCCATCTGTCCCACCATCAGCAGCTCCAATCCCACTGCCTAATCCACTACAACCAACTTCACAATTCTATCAGTGCTGCCAAAAGATGGTTGACTCCACACATGCTCAGATAGAAGAAGTTGCACCACTCTCTGTTAGTCCATCTGAGATCCCAGGTTCAGTTGATACAGTTCCAGGTATTTCCCTTGAGCCTGAGCATGTTATTTCCCTTGATAATGATGTTTTTGTACCTAACATTGTTGTTGCAGCTAATCCCATTGATCTTAATCTCCCCATTGCACTCCGCAAAGGGAAGAGAAAGTGTACAGCCCATTGCATTTCACATCATCTTTCCTACAATGCCTTATCACCCTCCTACCGTGCTTTCCTTTCTTCCTTGGATTTTGTGTCTATACCCAGGAATGTTAGTGAGGCTCTCTCCAAACCTGAGTGGAAAATAACTATGCAAGAAGAAATGGAAGCTTTGGTTAAGAATCAGACATGGGAGATAGTTGATCTTCCTATAGAGAAAGAGACAGTCAGATGCAGATGGGTGTTCATTGTGAAGCACAGGACTGATGGCAGTATAGAGAGGTACAAGGCAAGGTTGGTTGCAAAAGGGTATACACAGACCTATGGCATTGATTACTTGGAGACTTTTGCACCAGTTGCTAAGATGAGTTCAGTTTGAATTCTCTTATCCCTAGCAACTACCTATTCATGGCCTCCATTCCAACTTGATGACAAAAATGCTTTTCTTAGTGGTGATCTGCAAGAGAAGTTATATATGGACATTAGTTTTTATGAGAATGTTGGTAAAGGAAAAGTTTGTAGATTGAAGAAATCACTGTATGGTTTGAAACAGTCACCTAGGGCATGGTTTGACAGGTTCAGAGGAGCACTTATCCGTTTTAGATACATACAGACTCAATCAGATCATACTCTCTTTGTACAAAGGAGAAAGGCACTCTTGTCAGTATTGATTGTATATGTAGATGATATAGTTGTTACAAGAAATGATCTAAAGGAGATTGATGCACTCAAGAAGTCACTACAGCAAGAGTTTGAGATCAAGGATCTAAGTGAACAGAAATATTTTCTAGGGATTGAGGTTGCAAGATCCAAGCATGAGATTTTCATCTCAGAGCAAGTATGTGTTGGACTTACTACAGGACACTAAGAAGCTAAGAACTAAACTAGCTAGTACTCCTATTGACCCAAATATAGAACTATGCTTTTTGGATGGTGAGTTGGTTAAAGATGTGGGAAAATATCAGAGAATGGTAGGCCAACTACTATATTTATGTATGACAGGTCCAGACATTTCCTAAGTTGTTAGTGTTGTGAATCAGCACACGCATGCTCCTCGGGTTCAGTTGTGGCTAAATCAAGTGTATAGGCCGAATATAGATCTATGGCCCATGGTGTTTCAAAACTACTTTGGGTGAGATCTCTACTAAGTGAGATTAGGACAAAAGCTAAGGAGCCCATGATGTTATATTGTGATAACCAAGCTACAATCAATATTGCCTACAATCCAATTCAACATGATAGGACTAAACACATTGAGGTTGATAAGCACTTCATAAGAGAAAGGGTGACAACTGGAGAAATTTTCTTGCCTTATATCTCCTCTAAATTACAGTTGGTTGATGTCTTCACCAAAGGGGTTGCAAAGGACAAGCTTGAACACAATCTACACAAGTTGGGAATGTATGACATTTACTCCCAACTTGAGGGGGAGTGTTGAGGTTTTAGACAGTTTTGTGCAATTTTAGTGGTAGCTTTTTATTATTTATTGTTTAGATAGGAAGTGGAGACCTCAGCACTGTTGTTGGGTCCTTTTTGAGCAATTATTTCAAGTGTTTTATGTGTTAGCCGCCCTATAAGGGCATATTGGTCTTTGTACCCTTTATTATTTTAAACTATAAATAACAGTGAAGAGGGCGGCCAGAACCATTGCTCTCTTTTCTCTCTCAAATATCTTCTCCTTCTTCTCTCTTTTCTTCTTCAAGAAATATTATTTTTCTTTTACAGATTTTTATTTCAGCAGTTTTCTATTGTGGCCAATCCAAAGGATATCTATCCTACTTGATGGACAATTCGGATTTGCAATTCCACACATGGAAGAAAAGTGACAAGTGGAAGGAGGTGCCTTACACACATAGACACTTGTGCAAGAAAGCATACTTACCCAATTTGTTGGTTTGAATTCAATCATAATTTGTAATTCAAAATCACTGCAATACCCGGTGATTTTGCTAGGGGTAAAGATCTATTTTAGTTCTTTGACTTGCTAATTTACAAAGATAAAAATAACTCTTGTTTTTTTAAGTATGATAAATGTAAAACATGGTAGAGGATTCCATGTACTTCTAAAATATGTAATATAACATGTTTCAACAAATCATACCATAGTAAATCTGAATATTAAAAGTTTAATTCAATTTTACAAGCTACAAGTATTGAGGAATGATATGTAGTTTCAAAAACTAGATATAAATGAGTGATGCTTCAAATTAGATGGGGTACCCGTACACATATCCATGTATGGGGTCTTGGGAAATGGAGAGTCATATCCTCATGTCTTATATCCATATCCTGTTGTCCATATGTCAGCATCATTGCTATCTACATATAAAATTGCCAAATGAATAGACTAAGAAAACTAACTTCAAGGCTACCTTTCTGTCTAATGAACAGGAATCTACTTTCCTAATCCTAACCAAACCACAGTAATGGCCTGCAAATTTATTTGAACACAACCAGTTTGCAAGTCTGATAGGTTGGAAGCAACAGGCAACTTTGGGACAAAGAACCTCCAGTTGTATAACATAACCTAACTGTGATTTTTTTCTTTTGGTGAGAAGGGGCACTGTGATTAGTGGGGTATGGTTTCATTATAATCTCAGTTCCACTAGCAGTACTACACCAAGATACTGCAGTGTCCCAGCAAGTCAACCTTGAAACGAAATGTTCAGCTGATCAATTATGATTTCAATAACTTGCTATTTTGATAAAATGTTGGTCACGATGTCTCAGATGATCAACCAAAGCAAAGACACCTAGTGATAATTCAGTATAACTGCCAGCTCAGACCAGATGCCAAGCATTGAATGAATGAATTAATCATTTGACAAGATATTCAGATACCATGAGTAGAAAGAATATATGCATGAGTAGTGAAAACATATGGCCAGTTAATAACTTTTGTTCATTTTCACAATGACTCCAAAAACATTTTGTTCAGTCTAATCGTGCCATGAAGCAACAAAGAAGAGATACATAGAGTAAAGCAATTGCCTTTACCAGCTATCATTTTACATTTTTTTTCATTTTCACAACAACTCCAAAAACATTTTGTTTGGTATATATCCTCCAAACAAATCAATAGACTTTGAAGGAACATCAAAAGATACAATGAGGACAAACAAGAATTTGAAATTATCTCTACCTGCCAGTCAAGGAGATAATTTCTGGCAACTCAACAGGCAAGAGGTGTGCATCTGAAATAAATCAATGGGAAAGAAAAAGGAGAATCATCAAGTGTCTTTACAACTAAAAATAATTCATAAAATTGGGGAGAAACAACTCTACAAAATAAAAATGCTCAGACTAAAATAAATAAAATCCTTAGAGCAATGAAACCCCAGATGATAATATTCAAAAAAACCTCACTAAGTTTATAAACTGACAACTAGGCAGGCTACATTGTGCAGTTAGCTTTAACTAGCACACCTGCTTCACCCATTGCCATTCAAGTTGTTGCACTCTTAACCAGGCCATAGTATAGATTTATAAGAACTATTATTCCAGAAGGCAGTAAGAAATAAAATCTCAAAATGGTATTGAATATGTTAGAACACTAATAAATATATAACTATTCAAATACAGTATCCTCAACTGTAAATTGGGTAGATATGACTTTTTTTATTGGTAACATTAAAACATTTACTGATTATGGAGAAAGAATAGTATTTACTGGAATTAAGTTTGTAGATAATATGCTAGCATCTTTTCCTAACCCCGTTCTTTGTATACAAAGAAAACAGTGTTAAAATCTCCATGTATAATTGATACCTATTAACCTCATGTCTAGCCAGAGTGTTAGCCATTCCATTTGCTGCTCTATGTATCCATATCCATGTCACTCCTATCTCCCTTGTAATTGTCTTGGTTGCCTCACCGTATGTCTTAAGCTGCCAGATTCCTTGGCTATCATTCTAGAGCACCCCACCTCGTTTCTGGAATCACACTAACATTATATTTTATAGGTTCAACCTTTTACATATCATTAACCCTTGAAGAAGAAATGCTCTGAACTCTCTCTCACTACTCCCTCTATTCCAGAAGGTCCCAGATTTCCAAAACTAGAGCCACTGAAATCGAATTTCACTTGGTTCAATGTGGGTGGGATCAACTTCGTTCTCAAATTTTCCTTTAAAAATGAGGGTTTTGCGATGTGGAATCAAGATTTCTCTGGAGAAATGGATCAAAGGTCTTCCCTCAACTCACTACTTTTATCAAAATGTTTTCAATGATAGAAATCTTGGAGTTCTGTTTCTCATTAAAATTTCTAGCATTCCTTTCTTCCCAAATCAACCATAGCATAACTGCCCTAGTGCATCTCCATAAAATTTCCCCCTTCTGTGAAAATATATAATAGTTGACAATAATGGTTTTTCACTTAGAAATTACTGAACTTTTATAATAGACATCAAAAAAGATTAATAGTTGCAGGAACATAGAGTTGGAAAGAGCCCATTGCCTGCCATGTGACAGGGTGACAAGAATAAGGGTCAAGTAGGACCCAACATCAGATGATAACCCAAGAAATCGTAACTTGCAATAATAACCACTGCATCACACAAATGCATTCCTCCGATCCATAAAACATCCTACAAGAGAAACCTGAATCGCAAGGCATGTGGTGGACTAGGCACCACATCGCAAAGCACGTGAGCACCACAAAAAAGAGCAAAGAAAGGGTATCGTAGCCAGCAATCTCGGAGACACATCAAGAAAAGGGAAAACCCGAGTACTGTAGTCCTGAAAAGCCACAAAGCAAACCCCTGACTAACCCATATGGCAATGGATCAATATAAATCCCAAACTTTTAAAAGTTACCATCTATCACAGCACAAAAGGAGAAACCTTTCAAGGTCAGGAGATCTCCGTGATCTCCATGCATAGGTGCTTATAAATATAGAGCCCCATTAAGAGGGGGGCAACACCATGCATCACTCATTCTTCAAAAACCCAAAGTATCCCTCGAGAATCTTATCCCGTGCTTTAGGCCTTCCCTACGCCCAGAAAGCCATCCTACCATCCTTCAGACAAACTCTCACAGTGCCAAACCCTACCCTCCTACAATAATAGCTCCATTAAGAGACTAAAATGGTTGTTAACTATTTTCAATAATTGAAACTAGAAACCAAAGAAACTCAATTAAAACTAAAAAGGCCTTATTTCAATTAATAAATAGATAACTATTCAAATACGGGATTCTCAGCTGTGCATATATGAAAATATCAAGTTGATGATCAAGGTATTTCACTTACAAATTACTAAACTATTTTAGTTGACATAAAAGAAAATATTAATAATGATTCTATTAGGAGATGCAGAAATGGTATTTAATTATTTTCAGTAATTGAAATTAGAAAACAAACACAATCAGCTAAACTTAAAAGCGCCTTCTCTCAATTAATGGTGGTTGGCTACAAAAATCCTGATTCCACTTTTATCAAGGACCATACTGTTCAGTCCTCGTTACACTAACCCACATCCTTTCCAGCCACCTCTGAGGTCTTTTCAAAACCAAAGAAAAAGTATATAAAAATCAATATAGAAGTGTATGGATTCTACAGGTTTTCCATCTAGTGATGTTATGCTGATATGAATACACATATTGCTTTGGTTAAGTTTTAATTTCTTCAATTCATGTTTGTGCTATATTCTACCATGCATTGGACAGCACCCTATTAATGATTGTTCATTTCTTGCTTCAGTTAACAAAGTTTTCATTACCAATCAAAAATGATGGAAAAAGATCTAGAAAGTTGTACAGGGGGCTATAATACATTGTAATGATTTTACTGTTACTAATTAAACATTATCCTTACCATAAAAAAAAAAGCTGTTTGCCTACCAATGGCAACTACAAATTGTGAATGACTCAAATGTGAAAAATTAGAAGTGTCCTCACCTAGTGATGGAGGTCTAGATGCAAAGTGAATAGAACCCAGTGTTAAAGATTCTGAGAAAGCAATTAATATCATGCGCCCATCAGGATCCCAGGTTGCACCCTGATGACAGAAAAAAAAAAACATGGTTGAAAATGACATTTTTTTTGTTCTTCTACACAACATTAAAAGGTTATGTAGGCCAATAAGAACATGGAACATCGCAATAGAAAACTTACGCAGGCAACAGAAAATGCTGAGCTTAAGCAGAGTGTTAATATAAATTGAATCGCATCACTAAAAACCCTTGAGGTACATAATAATGGTATGTAGTAAATAATATATAACTTCAGCACTTGGGAAGGGGAAACAACAGAACAATGTAGACAAGGCATAAAAAAAATCAAAATATCTTATACAACATTAGATAGGAACAAGGTTCGGGTCTGTATAAAGACATGGTTTAAAATGTCCCTAATTTCCCTAATATTTCCACAACATATTTCCATTTCCATTGGTAACAACACAAAATTTTACCAGAATCGACATATTCCTCAATGAACACTACCAGCACTATGTGGAGTACAAGAGATAGCTTCCACGACATAATTCCATTTCACTTCCATGGGTAGCGACCTGAAATTTTACTAGAATCGACATATTCTCCAATGAAAACTACAAACACTATGTAGAGTATAAGATAATATTCTAACATAAGTTGGTGAGAATATCGTGGATATGTGGAGTAACAATGTTATTGCCCACCTAACTTCCACGATTACCACTTTGAGCTATCTCAATATGCATTTCAAACATTAAGTTAAAAATTAGTTTTTGTTTGTATAATAGATTATTTGGTCGATCTATTACAACCATTTACACTTTTCTAAGTTTAAATTTTGCTTTAACTCATTCTATCATGAAGATCTGAATCTTAAGGTTTACAGGGAAACTTCGGAACGTATTTTGTTGTCTACAACCTTAGTTTCTTAGCTTTCTTTAATGATTTGGATCAAGATAATAATTTAAAAAGGTTGGCTATGCTTCTTTTATCATTTCATAAAATATCATTCTATATTTTTCATATTTTACAATGTTTCAACCAAGGTTCAAAATATCGTCACATATCGGCCCGTATCAACCAATACGTATTGTATTGGATCCTTTCCGATACACCCCTACAAGGGGTGTTTCGGGTCGGCGAGTGGTTCAGGGGTAGACCGGCCCCACTAAACCAGATTCGGAAAAAAATAAAAACAAAAAAACAGTAACAGTACAGGCTGATATGCCCTACCGGCATATCACCCTATATCAATAGTTTGAACCTTGGTTTCAACTTACAATTTACGATACGATTCACAATTTGAATCATGAATCCCAAGGGTTTCGATTCGAATCTTATGTTGAATCCTTTTCTGCAAAAATCCTACAATTTTTATTTGAATCAGATGATTTGATTCATAAATCTTACAATTTATATGATTTGTGTGACTCATTGTGATTCAAATCGTTCAATTAAGAACTAGTTCTCTACTTTGTCATTTTGTTTTGTTTATATTTAGTTTTGTCAAGGGTGACTTGTTTTAAAGACCTTACTAGAAACTGATTCATTGCTATCATGTGTTGGATAAAGAGCCATTGTATGTGGATTATTTGACTTTCAAGTCAAATTCGACTATATCATCTTAGACTTCTATTGTACAAGTGGTAAGTTCTATTGTTTTAGGCACATATATGGTAGATATGACATGTGACTTAAAATACCACTTTTCTATATATATTTAGTCTTTTAGCATACTTATATTTAATTTTTGACAAATTTGTAAAAAAATAGAAATAATCTTATGTTTTACGATACGATTCACGATTCGATTCAACTTTCTCTATGATTTATGATACAATTACAATTTTCAAACATTGGTTTCCACATGTCTCTAATTTTTACAATATTTCCAACATTTTCAACATGTTTCTTATATTTGGAGGACCAACATTTCCACTGACACGGACATTTTAAACTTTGGTGTGTGGACAATAGCTTAACCTCCCTCCCAGGTGCAATATCACCCAACAAATAGCTTGCCATTCTCCTCACATGTGCTCCCTTTGTAAGGAAAGTGATGAGACCTTCACACATCTATTATTATCTTGTTCCTTTGTGCATCATATTGGGGAATCCTTTTGTCTTCTCTTTGGTTGCAGGTGGGTTTCCCCTCAAGATGTGGTAGGACTTTTCAACTGAGACTTTTTGAGGCAATCAAAGAAAAGAGGGAAGGTTATGTGGAAAGCTACAAAGGCAGCTATTTGTTGGGTGATATGGGAAGCAAGCAATAACAAAATATTCTTGGATAAGAGTAGAACAATGGAAGAGGTAATTGACACAATCGAAGTTAAAGTAGCTGATTGGGTAAGATCTTTGCATATTTTCCAAGATTTCTTAGTCACGGACATTATAAGATCCTGGACAGAAGCAGCACAATCTTCAAGAGTGAAAGAGAGTAAAGATGGAATTGAAACCTCCAGATGGTAGCAGAATTAAACTGAATTTTGATGGAAGCTCATTTGGAAATCCGGGATTGTCAAGTATCGGGGGAGTAATCAGAAATTCTGAAAGGAGAATATTAGCATTATTCTCTGGACCTATCGACATGCGCAACTCTCTAAAAGCTGAGTTAATGGCATTGCTACAAGGATTCAAGATAGCCAAGCAACTAGGAATGAGGCATATTGAGGTTGAAGGGGATTCCAAGGTGATCATCTCTTGGGCTAACAACAATAGAACTATTCCGTGGACTTTCAAACAAGTGATAAGGGAAGTGGAAAAGGTTGCAAGGGAGGTAGAGGCAGAATTCAAATGGGTTAGAAGGAGTGCAAATGGGCTAACTGATTATCTTGCTAAACAAGGGGCTTTGAGGCAACAATTGTTTTGGGCTGCAATGTAAAAAGGGACAGAAATATGTAATAGTGTGGGACTTCTAGTCCCATACACAAAGTTGTAAAATTTTTTAACTTTAATTTCAAATAAATTTCTCCTTTGATGATCAAAAAAAATGATAAATGTTTAAATTCTGAAGATGTTCCCTCCCTCCCTAGCTCCTTCTCATCCATTTAAAAGGTAAAAGCAAATTCCAAACTTGATTCTGTGTTACAAACCCCAATATTCACCTGAAATGATTAATGTTTATATTTTGAAGATGTTGCCAATTTTTCTTGTAGAATTGTTCTCAAGCCACATCCAACTAAAACTTGGATGTTGCTTGCTTACCCTCCCTCCCTTTCCTCCACCTTCCCTCCCTCCCTGCCTCCTAGATGCAATATTAACCTGAAATAATAAATTTTATATTCTAAAGATGTTTGCCCATTTTTCATTTAGAATTTTTCTCAAGCCAAATCCACACAAAACTTTGAATTGTTTCTTTGATCATATAGCAAAATGACGGTTACCTTTACAATAAAGACAAAAACAAGGTAATAACCAACTTAACTCCTATAGCTAGAAATAAGGCAAACAGTGTATTACCTATAGCCAAATAAAGAAGAGAAATTTTCTCAAATATTGATTGCAAATGGGAAAGAGGTTAGCAAATTAAAAGTAGTCTTATAACTTCATTTGCAAGGGATACACACGTCAGGTGAAAGATACCAAAAAAAGCCTTCTCTTCTGCAGGTTTTTGCAAGTAAAAATTTGTTTTTTGAAAATAAATAAGAATTCCATTAGAAAAACAAAAAGAGAATACAAGAGGAAGGTCACAAGTAATCACCCGGGAGAAGGAAAAACAAAACTGAGATACAGACTGATACCAATCAACACGATACTACAGAATTCTAGTAAAATAAAGATCAAAACACCTCTAAGACTAGACCCTCAGCCTTCAAACACTTCCCCCTGCCCATCCCACATCTCTCCTCCTCCAATTAAACCTTTCTTTAAGCTTTCTTTCCTCTTCCTCCTCTCAAACTCTTCAAAGGCTTTCCTGGAAAACCCCTCACCACCCTTGAAGAACAAGCCAAGGCTTTTACCAATCTCTACATCTTTTCCAGCAGCTTTCTCAATGTAAAAAATTCTTCGAAATCTGTCCACACTTTTTTCAGAGCTCTTATTAGGAACTCTCGCAAAACAAGCAGATCCAATCTCCATAATTTCTTCATGCAGAAGAGTCCCCACCTGATTACCCATATTGGAGAAAACCTGAAAGTTCTCCTTAACAACTGCTTTGCTTGTCGAAATAACAGTCTTACTTCCTCTTCTCTTATATACCCTCTTGTAGTTCTTGTTGGACCAGCCCTATGTGAGTATCTCACTCCATCAACTCCATGAGATTTTTTTGAGGTCAGGTTACTGATTCAGCTACCCCGAGATCTTTTCTAGCCTCGTCCCTCCTACCCAAATCCATGCCTAACCTTCCAATCATCACCTCCTCAAATAGCCAGTGCTCAGCATCATCGCCCTCAGCTTGGGGCAGAGCACAACAGACCACGTCAAAGTCAACATTTCTTCCATTGTCAAACCCTGATTTGCCTCTTGAATCAGCAGCAGCAACCTCTCTAAAGTCCTCCCTCTCTTTCAGCCCAATCTTTTCTTCTTTATGGATCTCAATAGACACATTAGAGAAATCTCCTTTCACATCAGAAATAGGAAACGAAGACAATGTACCAACATTTTCCTTAAATGTCGCAGCCAGTGTTTTAAAAGCGCAAAAAACGCACAAGGGGCAATTTACATCTGAAGTGCAAGGCATAAAGCAAGGTGTGTGCCTTTTTGAAGCAAGGCGCAAAATGCCAAAAAATCAAAAACACGTCAGAAAATTCAAAAAATGCTAAAAAAAATAAAAAAATGCAAAAGACAAAAAATATTAAACATAATATTAATAAAAAACATAAACTTAAATTTTAAAATAAATGTTTTAAAAATCCTATTATTTAAAATTAAAAGGCATAAACATAACACGTAAAACGTATTCAAATGAAAATTTAAAAATAAAATCAAACATATAAAACATTTCCAAACACGTAAAACCCACAGTCGATTTTTTTTCTCAATTGCATTACTTCAAGTAGCTAATGTGATGTAAAATATATTGCATTCCTGATTCTACAAGCCACCTTTGTACCAAGCCCAAAGA